GCCGCCACGGGCACCCCGCGGGGTCCTCGGGCCGGGCCTGGGTGCGGGCGGGGGGAACCGCGCTGCCGGGGCCACTAGGTGGCGCGCAAGGCCCTCAGGGCTGAGGCTGCGCGCCGGGACCGCGGCGGCGCCGCTAGGGGAGGTGCAGCTGCCCCAGCTCAAACTCCACCAGAGCTTTCACCCCGCGCCTGTATTTATCCTGCACACTGGAAAGGGCCACATGGGGTATGGCGAGAAACCGGGATGCTGAAGCCGTGTGCTGGCGCCGTCATGCCAGCGCTGGGGACGCGGAGGCAGGAGGCCTGCTGCGGGGTCAAGGCCAGCCGGGGCTACACAGTGAGCTCCCATCTCAAATGGTTTTTTGCGTCTCCTAATAGTTACATCAACAGAAGGCCACGCAAGTGCCTCGCAGCGGGCGCAGCGTAACCAAGGGCTCCAACGCCCGCAGCGCTGAGCGGGGGAAGCAGCCCTCCGGCTGGGTAGTCACCTGTAGGCAGGGGCCGCGCGCAGGAGCTGGCCTGGGGGCGGGCCAGGCGACGCGGGGACCAGGGCTATGGGAACTGCACCCCAAAGAGACCACACATCAGACCCAAGTCTGCACACATTTATTCCCGATGCGGGACAGATTCCTCCCGTCCCGGGAACACACTGCCCTGGAATCCCGCAGAAGCCCCCAGCCCTGCGGGCGGGCCGGGAAGGCAGGAGCGGGGCAGGCTGCTTCTCGAAGGACGGCTGCTCCTTGCTACTCTCACACAATCCTTAGAGAAAGAAAAAAGAGAGCAAAACCCCTCTAGTGTCGCGGGAAAGGGGAGGGAGGGCCCCAGCCGAGAGAGCTCGGCCGCGCAGGTCACTGTTTCTGCTGCAGGGCTTCCTTCCGCGCCGCATCCTGCAGCAGCTGTGTGTCCACCTCATCCGCCGGCAGCTGCACGTAGCGGACCACAGAGCCCCGGATGAAGCAGTTCTTCACGGACAGCTGCAGACAGACAGACAACGTGCAAAGCCCTTGTAAAGTCCTCTAGGCCCCAGGGGCCTCCCGCTCTGCAGGAGCGTCCTCCACTGACCCAACTCACCATGTGAGGGTATTTCTCGGGGTCTGTGACACTGATGTCAGTCAGCTTGATGTTGAGATACTAAGGAAAGTGGAGAACACCATCATCACTGATCCTGGGACAGACACGAGGTCCACCCCCTCATTCTCCCTCTCTCCTCCGAGAACAGAGTCCTTGCTGCCTCTTACCTGGTCCACAGAATGGAGGGTTCCACAGATGCTGTCAAGGGCAAGAGGAGGAAGAATAGATTAGCTGACACCAGGTCACACAGAGCCGCCTTCTGGCTAGGGTGGCAAGAGGGATGCAGGTGAGGCCCTGGGGAGGTGAACAGACAGAACCAAGAGGGATCCCTCAGCCCTGGTGGGGGAGAGAGGTGCCAGGATGGTTATTTTAACGCACCTTGCCTACACCAACCCTTTCTACTATGTTTTACTTACAGACAGGTTCTTGTTACACAGTCTAGCCTGGTCGCGAACTGGACATCCTCCTGCCTTAGCTTCTGCAAACAACTTGTTCTTTTTATTTTCCAGGGCTGAGCATGGAACCCAGGGCCTCTGCACTAAGTAACATTCCCACCATCCTCTGCCCCCTTTTTTCCCAATTTTTGAGACAGGATCTCCTAAGCCACTAAGTGGCCCAGGCTGAGCTTGAATTTGTAATCTTCCTGCATCAGTCTCCCAGAGTGTCCAGGCTAAAGGTGTGCGTCACCACCTGGCTAGTATTTGTGATCTTTACAGCCATTTCTCCAAAATAGCTCTCACCATGCAGAGACTTCAAAGTTGTATAACTTGTCCAAGTGTAGAACATATAAACAGGGGCATCAGTCTAGGTCTGACTGAGAATGCTTAGCTATTTTTAAACATTTGCCGCTTTGGGGGCTGGAGAGATGGCTCAGTGGTCTAAAGCACCTACTTAGAACAAGCTTGGCAAAGCATCAAGGGACCGCGGTTCAATCCCCCAGCACCACATGCCAGCCAGCCCCGCCCCCTGGTGGGCTGAGCTGGCGCCTCTCTCTCTCTCTCTCTCTCTCTCTCTCTCTCTCTCTCTCACATAAAAAAAAAAAAAAAAAAAAAAAAAAAAAAAAAATTTAAAATTAAAAAAAAAAAAAAAACATTTGCCGCTTTGGAACCAGAGCCCCAGGTGGAGGTTAGGCAGCTAGCATTATTCCTGGGGGTGCAGGCACAAACCCCGGCCTCTCTGTGACACTACTGAGAATGCTGTGCAGACACCAGTGGTCCTAGACGTGCTGTCTCCTAGATTCCTTACTAGCTGTCAATGGCTTGGGCAATTTCAATCTGACCCCTTCAGATTTGTTGAATTTCACTTCTTTCTTCTCCATGTTCTGTGAATCCCCACTGATCTGCGGAGTTGAACATTTCTGTAATTCCTTTTCTAGTCTGACTTCCACAAGCCAAGGTATCATTACTGTACATCTCAACTCAGGCCAGCCTGCCATAACTGTCTTGTAGGTTATGACCTAGCAGTAAGCACAAGGCCCTGGGTTCAATCCTCAAAACCAAAAAGTCTGTTTTAAATGATTACACTGATGATAGTTTTAAAAATGCCTTTATCTTGCCTAAGGTTAGCAGATTTACCTTGGACTTTTTCTTTCATCTCTTACGCAGGGACTAAAGACCCAGAGCCTCATGCAGGCTAGGGACATATGCCACCACAGACCTAACTACCAACCCTGGGTTCAATTTTTGTGAAACTGTCTTTCAAGTCTCGTTTCTGCCTCAGACCTACTGAGTGTTCCTACCCAATTCCTGCTGCTGCTGAAACACCTCTGACAGCACTCTACTGTCTGCAACAGGCAAATGACTTTCAACTGCATAGGGTAGTGTCATTTCATTCAGTTCCCACGGGAGAATACATTTGGCACCAAAACCTCCATTTTACAATGTACAGGTAGCAGCCAGGAATACAGCTCAGCCATGGAACACCTGCTTGCCAAGTGTGAGGTCCTGAGTTCGATTCCAGGTACTCACATACACACACAAAATAGAATGTACAGATCAGTCAATCCCTCTCCTCCTCATTCTCTGCCATATGAGTGTTTCCCTAGCAAGAAATTACCTCACATGTAAGTCTGGAAGGTACTCCTGGGGAGAAAATACACTGAAACAATCTTTCTAAAAGACAATGAGGGAAAAAAAAAAAAAAAGAGAGTGAATCAGGCAACAAAGGAAGGTATTTTAACCGTCCATTTCAGCCGGACATGGTGATTACGACTGCAATCCCACCACTCAGGAGGCTGAGGCAGGAGGACTGCTGAGCGCTTGAGACCTGTCTGACCTACATAGCGAGACACTGTCTCAAAAACCAAAACACTGGGACGGGAAAGATAGCTCAGTAGAACTAGTAGAATAAACGCTTGCCTGACAAGCGCAAGGGCCTGAGTTCAATCCCTAGTTCTGAAAAAAAAAAAAAAAAAGAGGGAGGAGGGAGAAGGAGGAAAAAATAGTCGGGTATACAGAAAGACTTACGGCGCAGCTGCGCAGGTCCCCAAGTTCTTCACTTGGAGCTACATCGTTCCCCTGCCCCCTTCTTTTTTAAAGATAGGATCTTGCTAAATTGTCTAAGCTGGCCTTTAACTTGCAATCCTCCTGCCTCAGTCTCACTAAGAGCTGGGCACACTCTTTATATACAGACCTTGTATTTTATAATGCAGCATGCCATTCCCCAGCTAATCTTTTTTTTATTTTTATTTTTATTTTTATTTTTTGGCGGAACCAGGGATTGAACTCAGACCCTTGTGCTTGCCAGGTTCCCCAGCTAATCTTAAAGCGGAAGGCACGAGCCATTCATGGCTCTCCCCGACCGGCCAGCACCAGGGCGACAGCGGTTCCCAGCCCCGTCACACACCCACTCCAGACTCTGAACAGCTACCTACCTCAGGTCATTCTTGAGTTCCACGACCACATCCTTGCCCACAAGGGACTTGAAAAAGGAGTAGAAGAGCTATTGGGCGAGAGGGAAAACCATCACGCGGGAAGGGACGGGGACGGGACCCGGCAGGCAGGCAGGCAGGAGCGCCCAGCCGCGCCGCAGCCCGCGCCCGCACCCCGCCGGCGCGCCATTGTGACGTCACGGTACCCACCATGGTGCCGGCCCCGCGCTGTGTGCCGAGCGGGAAGAAAAGGCCCGGTGGCGCCGCTGGCCAGAGCCGGGCCGAAACCGAAGCGCGAGCCCGCGCGTGGGGCGGAGCAGGCTCACGCGGGCGCAGGGGAGACGCAGCGGAACGCGCCCAAGCACGGAGAGAAAGGGCGCCGCAGACTCGTGGCTCGGAGAGCGCGGGCGGGGGAGACCCGACGGGCCGGCGAAGCGGAAGGGGCGGGGCTTCCTCCCAACTTCCGCCCCGGGCGGGTGGTTTCCACTGCGCAGGCGCGGCCGAGCGGCTCGGTGGGCTTAAGCCCTGACTGGTTTGTTTTGTTTTTTTTTTAAATATATTTTCGGGAAGGGTCTCCAGGGTGTTCAGCGGGTCACTACTAGATCGGACTCGTAGTGATCCGCCTGTTTACAGCCTCCCAAGAGCTGGGATTGCGGGAGCCACCATGCCCAGTCTCAATTGCCTTCTCGGCGCGCCCCGGGGGCGGGGCCGGCGGACCCTCCAGGTTTTTACGCCTGATTTTTAGCCAAAGCGTTGAGAAGCTGTCCTGCAAGGTTTTTATGATTGGGACATGCATGCTGTTTTTCTTATACCCTATAACACTTTGAGACCTGTCAGAGACTCCGTATGTGAAAATTACCCTTCGTGCGCCTTTTGAGAATCAAAATTGTGAGTTTCCCCAGATCAGGGACAGTCTTGAGTACAAGTCTTGGTTTTTACCCAAGTTACCACTAAATACATTTCTCCCAGCCATAGGGCCCATGGTGTTTTGTTTTGTTGCTGCTGGGGTAGCAGCCACGGCCTCAAGCGTGCTAAGTGAGTGCACACCACCAGTCTATCTCCTTAGTTTTACAAAGGACCGGCCTGTAAACACCGGTTTACGTGTAGAAAGGACTTCTTCCCCTCCCTCAAGTCCAGGAGACTGGGCGCAGACTTCACACTGACCTCTATCATCAGCCCCTATGGTTTGTTGTTGTTTTTAATTGCTGTCTTTTTGAGATAGGGTCTTGCTATGCAGTTCAGGCTAACCTTGAACTCACTTTGTAACCCAGGTTGGCATACAGTTGGAAGTGATCCTCCTCCCTCAGCCTCCCAGAGTTCTGGGATCACAGGTGTATGTCACTGTACCCAACTAGGGATGATGCTCTTTTTTGGGGGGGAGGGGTACAGGGTCTTGTTATGCAGCTCAGACTTGTAGTGATCCTCCTGTCTCAGCCTCCCTAGTACTGGGATTACAAGTGTGTAATCCCACCCACTCTGGGGCCAGCACAGCACATCCAGGGTTCTGGGGCTGGCACAGCATGCAGTACCAGGGATCGAACTTGGGACCTTGTGTTTGCCAGACAGGCACTTCTGCTACCATGCTATCTCCCCAGCCCTAGGAATGGTGCATTTTAATATTTCCCTTCCGAATAGCATTCCCTTCAATACAAAGGGACACAAATGCACAGTTACCTATATGTCCATACTCATGTCCGTCAGGTTTTTATGAATTGTGAAATAAGTTTAAAAAAATTATGGACTAAGACTGAAAGAGTCCTTCATTTCTCATCTTGCATAAAAGTGCATTGTCAGGGGCTTGCTGTAGAAATATTTTGTGTGTAAAGGATGAAATGCATTGGATATTGATCTGGATGCCAACCAATGACACCAGTACATCCAAGTGTCTGCTCCTATGTCCCAGCTGAGTCCTAAACAGTCCAGATTATAGATGATGATTCATTGTAAGCAGTGGCCACAGCAACAGCTCCATCTGTGCCACAGGTGTCTGAGGACTGAGTATTTTTTGACAATGACCTCATGAAAATCCAAATACTTTCCCCTTGCCAATGTAATCATTCATAAGGAGCTCTCGGAGAACACATGTTCTCCATTATCTGGCCTTTACTTTTCAAAGTACAATATAGCCTAAAGATACCAGAACTAATTGCTGTTAGGAACTTTACTGAGTGACAAATAACCATCCACGCAGGAAGGCGAAAGTTGGTGTGGCTGGAAATAAATGAAACATTCAGAATCACCAGATGTTCAAAGAGAGGCCTAGTTTTCTTTTAAAAATCCATTTCAGATCCACAGACAAGATGTCGGAGTATGAAAGGCTGATTTATGAGACTTAACCATCAGAATCCCAAAGGGGTGGTAACTTAGGTCCAGTTAATTCAAGAATCAGAAGGGTGATTGAGGGGGAAAGGAATAAAATTCACCTAGAAGCACCCTGGAGCCCTCTAGCTCCAGAAGACGTTAATCTACTTCCTCGATGGTCGGGCCTGCCGCGGGCCTTCCGGGCGCAGGTGCGTACCCCGTTGGGCACGCGGGCCCGGTGCACCCCCCCTGGTACAGCTTTGTGATGATGGGGCTGCACACCTGTTCCAGCTCCTTCCTCTTGTGATCAAACTCCTCTTTCTCAGCCAGCTGATTGGCCTCCAGCCAGGACAGGGCCTCGTTGCATTTAGTCAGTATTTTCTTTTTATCAGACTCACTGATCTTGCCTTTGAGATTGTCATCACTCACCGCACTCTTCATGTTGTAAGCATAGGATTCTAAGGCATTTTTCGCAGCAATTTTCTCCCTTTGACTCTCATCTTCAGCTTTATATTTCTCAGCTTCCAGAACCATGCGCTCGATCTCCTCCTTGCTCAGGCGGCCCTTGTCGTTGGTGATGGTGATCTTGTTGGCCTTCCCGGTGCTCTTGTCGGTAGCTGTGACATTGAGGATACCATTAGCATCAATATCGAAGGTGACCTCGATCTGAGGAACCCCCCTGGGGGCAGGGGGTATTCCGGTCAGGTCAAAGCGGCCCAGCAGGTTGTTGTCCTTCGTCATGGCGCGCTCGCCCTCGTACACCTGGATCAGCACCCCGGGCTGGTTGTCCGAGTAGGTGGTGAAGATCTGCGTCTGCTTGGTGGGGATGGTGGAGTTGCGCTTGATCAGGACGGTCATCACGCCTCCGGCCGTCTCCAATCCCAGAGACAGGGGGGCCACGTCCAACAAGAGCAGATCCTGTACCTTTTCGGACTTGTCGCCCATCAAAATAGCTGCCTGAACTGCGGCCCCGTAGGCCACCGCCTCGTCGGGGTTGATGCTCTTGTTGAGGTCGCGCCCGTTAAAATAGTCCTGAAGCAGTCTCTGTACCTTGGGGATGCGCGTGGAGCCGCCTACTAAAACAATGTCATGGATCTTAGCCTTGTCCATCTTGGCATCCCGAAGAGCCTTCTCCACGGGCTCCAGGGTGCCCCTGAACAGGTCTGCACACAGCTCCTCAAAACGAGCTCTGGTGATGGATGTGTAGAAGTCAACACCGTCATAAAGGGAATCAATTTCCAGGTTGGCCTGCGTACTGGACGACAGCGTCCTCTTGGCGCGCTCACAGGCCGTGCGCAGCCGCCTCACGGCCCGCTTGTTCTGGCTGATGTCCTTCTTGTGCTTCCTCTTGAACTCCTCCACGAAATGGCTGACGAGCCGGTTGTCAAAGTCCTCCCCGCCCAGGTGCGTGTCCCCCGCCGTGGCCTTCACCTCGAAGATGCCATCGTCGATGGTCAGGACCGACACATCGAAGGTGCCCCCGCCCAGGTCAAAGATGAGCACATGTCTCTCTCCCTGACCTGCTTTATCCAAACCATAGGCAATAGCAGCAGCTGTGGGCTCATTGATGATTCTGAGCACGTTGAGTCCTGCAATCACACCTGCATCCTTGGTGGCCTGGCGCTGAGAATCATTGAAATATGCTGGCACAGTGATCACGGCATTGGTGACAGGATGGCCCAGAAAGGCCTCTGCAGTCTCCTTCATCTTGGTCAATACCATTGAAGAGATCTCCTCAGGGTAGAAAGCCCTGTTCTCGCCTTTATAGGACACCACCACCTTGGGCTTGCCGCCTTCATTGATCACTTGAAAAGGCCAAAGTTTCATATCTGACTGCACAACAGGATCATTAAACTTGCGGCCGATCAGCCGCTTGGCGTCAAAGACGGTGTTCTGGGGATTCATGGCCACCTGGTTCTTGGCCGCATCCCCGATCAGCCGCTCGGTGTCGGTGAACGCCACGTAGCTGGGGGTGGTGCGGTTGCCCTGGTCGTTGGCGATGATCTCCACCTTGCCGTGCTGGAACACCCCCACGCACGAGTAGGTGGTGCCCAGGTCGATGCCGATCGCCATCCCCTTGGCAGTAGCCATGTTTGTCCGAGGCCTGTGCAGAAAGAATGAAATACATTCTCAAAAAGTGCTTTTTAATATTCTTTTTTACTAAATAGCAAGTGATTTTATGATAAGATATACTGATCCACTTCCAAAGGCAAGAATATAAATAGGGGAATAAACGCACCAATGGCTTATTGCTCTTTTAAGACAGGAGGAAGCCCTACCTGAAAAGCTGGCAGAAGTTTTTGGTGAAACTGGAGACTGAACTCAGGGCCTTCACTCTAAACTATAACTCCAGCTCTTTTGTGTTTGGCTTTTTATTTTTTTTAAGACAGGGTTTCACTAGCTTGCTAAATTGCCCCGGCTGAGTCTCAACATACAGTCCTCCTTCCTCAGCCTCCAGGAGTACTGAGATCACTGACATGCGCTGTGATGCCTGACTTGGCCTGGAATTTGTGTCCTTCCTGCTTCAGCCTCCTGAGCAGCTGGGATTACAGGCATGAGTCGCCGCGTACACCTTGTTTCACTGTGACTCAATTTGTTCACTTACAGTTCCGGGGTTCGAGCCCACATCCTTCTGCTGCCTATGTCCCCATGAGCTACCCTGCCAGCGCTGTAGCTTCCCTAGGGCAGGGATCAGGGCACAGATCCTAAGATCCGTGCACTATTTGCACGTCCAGGTGTAAGCATGTGTTCAGCACACTCCCAGCCACTGCAGGGTTTCCTCAGGTGCCCGTGGACGTCACACTGGGAGAGGCTGATGGCAGTGTAGAACAGAGGCACAGTCCCTGCCTGTCCCATCTTCTCCACAGATGAGGCTGAGGCCCTGAAGTCAGCAATGACCTTAGTTTATATTCATCCTGAGCTTGCACAACTGGAGTGCATTTCTTTCTTTTTTTTCTTCAGTACTGGGGATCAAACTCATAACCTTGCGCTTTTCAAGCAGGCTCTTATGCCACTGAGCTATGTCCCCTGCCCTCAGAGTACATCTCGTAATGATGCTTTAAATGAAGCTTTCAAACATTGCCAGACATATTCTGAGGGACACCTTCCATGAAGCTGGGGCTCTTGGCCTTCAGGCGCTGGAGGCACTGCTTGCTTCAATTCTTTTTCCTGAGGGGCCAGCCAAATAGCTCAGCAGATTAAAGTGCCTACAAGCAGGCGCAGGGGCTGGGGTTCCATCCCCAGGCCTGCCCCCTGGGGGTGTGCTGAGATTGAGACTGGGCGTGGTGGTCTTGGGAGGCTGTAAACAGGCGGATCACTAGGAGCCTGATCTAATAGTGAGACCCTGAACACCCTGTAGACCCTTCCCTAAAATACAACCCCCCCCCAAAAAAAAGACCAGTATTCTCAACTACCCAAAAGGGAGCCGGGCATGTACTGTTCTCACCTCTCACAAGGCCTGATACAAATGTCTGTTTTATTGTAGGGTCATGCCCTGCTCCTGCTGAAATAAGATCGCGTTCCTCTGTGGAGAGACACTAATCTCAACTCTTGGGCACTTGCGAGATTGCCTCCTTCCTTACTCCTCCACTGTCTCAGGGATCCTCGAGTCAGGCCAGTTTGAAGACGGCCCCTTAGCAACTCCAGGAAGCTCTATCACGTTTTAGAGTGATAGATTCTATGTCCTTTCCTTCTATACCACTCTGCTAACTGGACCAGTGACACGCGCTGGAAGGGCTTGGGGTTCCCGCACACCTTGTGCCCACCCCAGTGCCGGGTTGCACCGCTAACTCTGAGGATGACCAATACTAGCCACCATCACTCGGGGGTCCCTTGCCCTGGTCCGCTAGTGCCCGCATGCTTCAGAATAAAACTTTACAGGCTTTTCCCTAGCCTGCTCGTGGGCTTTGGATTCCTACGCAGTTCTAATCCGAGCCCTCCTGGCTCACCTGTTCACTCGCCGCCTTCGATCCAGTTTGGAAATGTATAGATGCGGAGTCCCTGGACGTGGGAACCCCCTAACTCTCAAAGACCGCGGTGCTGCGCCCCCCACCCCCCACCCGCCCTGCCCCGGACTCTGAGCCTCGGGTGCTGAGCACCGATGCTTAACCGCGGGTGAGGTCAGAAACGCGTCGCCATTGTAACGCAGTGGGGCGGACGAGGCTGCGTCATCGCTGGGCCGCCGCCTTCTCCACCCTGGTTGAAGTCGCCTGGAGAGCCGGCCGGAGCCCGAGGCCACGGGGGCGGGGCACTGGGGACGCCTTAAACATCACTTCTGTGAAAACGCAGCGACTCTCACGCAGATTTACCATTCACATGAAGTTTGTTTGGGCTTGTGTATGTATGTATGTATGTATGTATGTATGTATTTTTGCGGAACCGGGGATTGAACTCAGGCCCTTGCACTTGCCAGGCAAGCGCTTATTCCACTGAGCTATCTCCCTGGGCCCCAGGCTTTTTTTTTTTTTTTTTTTTTTTTTTTGAGAAGAATCGCTGTGCAGTTGAGGCTGCTTCTGAACTCACGACGTAGCCCTGGATGGCTTCGAACTGGCCGCCATTCTTCAGCCGCCGCCTTCCCGGAGTTGTGATTACAGATGTGCGCAACCACTGCCGGCCCACCGTGTAAAGTTAAAGTTGATTTTTTAAAAACACTCTATGGCAGTTTCTCCGTGTATTGCTCAAGCAGCGCGGTCGCCTCTCTCGCTCAGGCCAGACAAACTGGGCTCTGGCCACCACTAACCCACCTGCCGGGGTCCGCACTGTCACGGACACCAGCCCACCCAAACCACCAAACGCCTTCAGCCCAGAGCCTCCAACAGCCCCACCAGCCGGGCGCCGACCCCTCCACCCCGCCGCAAACGCTCCCCGGGCCGCCAGGTTGCTATGGAGACCGAGGCGCCCAGCGCGGACCCGCCCCTTCCCCGCCGCGCCCGGCCCCTCCCAACAGGCTCTGTCCACTCCTGCAAACCCCAGAAACGTCTAGAGAGTTCGGGGGAAGGGGCGGAAACCTCGCCTCTGGTTGGTCCAAGGAGGACGGGGGCAGAACCCGAGGAGAAATCCCTAGAACCTTCGCGGACCGCCAGCCCCGCTGCGGCCGGGGATTGGCCGGGAAGCGGGTAGGCGGGGCTCGGAAAAGACTCATAAAAGTGCCGCGCGCGGCTCGCCGCACCACACTCCGCCCTCGCAGCGGCCGCGTCCAGAGGAGGCTTTTCCCCCGAGCGAGCGCCCCGCGGACGGCTTCGGGACCCAGCCCTCGCCGAGCAGTGAGCGTCTCGTCCAGCGCGCCTGTCGACTGCAGCGTGAAGCCGAGCGGAGAGAGAGAGCGAGCAGGCGGCGACATGGCCAAGAACACGGCGATCGGCATCGACCTGGGCACCACCTACTCGTGCGTGGGGGTGTTCCAGCACGGCAAGGTGGAGATCATCGCCAACGACCAGGGCAACCGCACCACCCCCAGCTACGTGGCGTTCACCGACACCGAGCGGCTGATCGGGGATGCGGCCAAGAACCAGGTGGCGCTGAACCCGCAGAACACGGTGTTTGACGCCAAGCGGCTGATCGGCCGCAAGTTCGGCGACCCGGTGGTGCAGTCGGACATGAAGCACTGGCCCTTCCACGTGATCGGCGAGGGCGACAAGCCCAAGGTGCAGGTGAGCTACAAGGGGGAGACGAAGGCCTTCTACCCCGAGGAGATCTCGTCGATGGTGCTGACGAAGATGAAGGAGATCGCCGAGGCGTACCTGGGCTGCCCGGTGAGCAACGCGGTGATCACCGTGCCCGCCTACTTCAACGACTCGCAGCGGCAGGCCACGAAGGACGCGGGCGTGATCGCGGGGCTGAACGTGCTGCGCATCATCAACGAGCCCACGGCGGCCGCCATCGCCTACGGCCTGGACCGCACGGGCAAGGGGGAGCGCAACGTGCTCATCTTCGACCTGGGCGGGGGCACCTTCGACGTGTCGGTCCTGACCATCGACGACGGCATCTTCGAGGTGAAGGCCACGGCGGGGGACACGCACCTGGGCGGGGAGGACTTCGACAACCGGCTGGTGAACCACTTCGTGGAGGAGTTCAGGAGGAAGCACAAGAAGGACATCAGCCAGAACAAGCGCGCCGTGAGGCGGCTGCGCACGGCCTGCGAGCGCGCCAAGAGGACGCTGTCGTCCAGCACGCAGGCCAGCCTGGAGATCGACTCGCTGTTCGAGGGCGTCGACTTCTACACATCCATCACGCGCGCGCGCTTCGAGGAGCTGTGCTCCGACCTGTTCCGCGGCACCCTGGAGCCCGTGGAGAAGGCGCTGCGCGACGCCAAGATGGACAAGGCGCAGATCCACGACCTGGTGCTGGTGGGCGGCTCCACGCGCATCCCCAAGGTGCAGAAGCTGCTGCAGGACTTCTTCAACGGGCGCGACCTCAACAAGAGCATCAACCCCGACGAGGCGGTGGCCTACGGGGCGGCGGTGCAGGCGGCCATCCTGATGGGGGACAAGTCGGAGAACGTGCAGGACCTGCTGCTGCTCGACGTGGCGCCGCTGTCGCTGGGGCTGGAGACGGCGGGCGGCGTGATGACGGCCCTGATCAAGCGCAACTCCACCATCCCCACCAAGCAGACGCAGATCTTCACCACCTACTCGGACAACCAGCCCGGGGTGCTGATCCAGGTGTACGAGGGCGAGCGCGCCATGACGAAGGACAACAACCTGCTGGGCCGCTTCGAGCTCAGCGGCATCCCGCCGGCGCCGCGCGGCGTGCCCCAGATCGAGGTGACCTTCGACATCGACGCCAACGGCATCCTCAACGTCACGGCCACCGACAAGAGCACCGGCAAGGCCAACAAGATCACCATCACCAATGACAAGGGCCGCCTGAGCAAGGAGGAGATCGAGCGCATGGTGCAGGAGGCCGAGAGGTACAAGGCGGAGGACGAGGTGCAGCGCGAGCGCGTGGCGGCCAAGAACGCGCTCGAGTCCTACGCCTTCAACATGAAGAGCGCCGTGGAGGACGAGGGCCTCAAGGGCAAGATCAGCGAGGCGGACAAGAAGAGGGTGCTGGACAAGTGCCAGGAGGTCATCTCCTGGCTCGACTCCAACAGCCTGGCCGACAAGGACGAGTTCGAGCACAAGAGGAAGGAGCTGGAGCAGGTGTGTAGCCCCATCATCAGCGGACTGTACCAGGGCGCGGGTGGCCCCGGGCCGGGCGGCTTCGGGGCGCAGGCGCCCAAGGGCGGCTCTGGCTCCGGCCCCACCATCGAGGAGGTGGATTAGCCGCCCTGGGAACCCAGCGGTCCTTTGGGCCGACCCCTTCCTCCTGGGCCCCTGCCGGCTTTCTGTGTTGTGTAACTGAGGCCCATGCCTTCAGTGTGTCGGTCCTGAAGTGAAGTCACCGCCTGGCGGGCTGAGGCGCTAGCTCTTGCATTTTTGTGGTTTCTAAGTCTTGTTATTTAGGTTAAGTGCAAGTGTTGTAAGGTGGTTTTATTTTCTTCCCTCCAACTAATCAGTGCTGCCACCTTGTGTACAGTTTTTTTTTCCTTGGACTAGGGGGAAAGTCACGCTAATTATGGTTTGTAATTTAATGACTAAAATGTTTAAAAATATCAGTATACATATGCAGCAGGCTTGGGTGGCATGGGCACTTTGTGTTGTCCCTGCTCCAGAGGGTTTGAGCCTGCCGCTGCTGTTGAGACTGTATATTATTAGACCATTACATTCATAGGCCTTGCTTGTGTTGTACATGTTTGGGGCTCGAGTGTCATTTTCCTTATATTGCCTGTTTGTGTGTAAAGTTAAGCTGCATATTTTGTTTTTAAGCTGTGGAACTTGCTATCTTTCAACATTTGTAATTTGCAGACAAGTTTATACTGTCGCATTTTGTCGGGGTTTTTTTGGGGGGTACTGTGCATCCAAGCTAGTCGTTTTTATTGGTCATATTAAAATAAACAAACTTTAAAATAATTTGCCTCTGCTTATTTTTAAACTTCAAGATGAGAGGTTCGTGCACAGGTTGTATTAAGACTTCTAAAACGTAAGTGTAAGGTAAGGCAGGGATTTGGACAAGTCAGGCCATATTGCATTCCAATCCGCTTGTGTTAGCCTAATGAAGTCCTTGACTCACAACCACCCCCTAGCCCACTGCCACCCAGGGCTAGGAATGTGGCTCTGTGTAGATGGCTTCCTAGCCACGGGAGGGCCAGTCAAGGCCTAAGAGGCAGGGGAGGGGGAAAGAAAGAACCTGACTGCCCCAGCCCTGCAAAGCAGACACCTGACTGCCTTCAGGAAGGTGAAGATGTGGCCCACATGAATGGTTAGATGGAGGTGTGGGGAGGGGTGAGGGTAAGGGGGTGTCCCTAGGGACTAAGAATTGACAGTGCGCTGGTGTGGGCACAAGCTCTGGCTTCCGGAGTTAGCATTCTTTCAAGTGCTTTTAGTCTCCCCAACCAGGGATTGAACTCAGTCCCTTGAGCTTGCCAAGGGCAAGCTTATTCCACTAAGCCATCTCCCTGGCCCCTCACGTGCTTTTAACTACTGATTACTAGTTTTCATCTCTGCAGGTGAAGTTGTAGCTGATGCTTTTGGTTTAGTTATAACCAAAAAGAAACAAGTAGAAACGCCGGGGCGGCCAAATAGCTCAGTGTATTAAAGCGCAGGCGCAGGGGCCGGGGGTTCCCCAGGCCTGCCGTGGGGGGTGGGGGGGACCCTGGGCGTCGCTGAGATGGCAAGATAAGCGCCTGTAATCCCAGCACTTGGGAGGCTGTAAACAGGAGGATCACTACCAGGCCGATCTACACAGTGAGACTCTAGACCCTGTACTAAATACAGAAAAGAACTGCCGCTCCCACCTGAGAATATAGCTCCTCAGTAGCAGAACACTTTGCTGGGGCCTGCTGTGTGTTACTATTTGCTGATCTACATTTTCTAAGGTTTTGCTGACTTAACAGTTGAACATTAGGGAAACTTAAAAGTTACCAGCTTAACTAAAGCTACTTGAAGGTTAGGAAAAAGCTCACTGGTTCAGCAAAGATGTTGAAGCTGGGTTCCAGCTCCGCTTAAGGTTTTTGCCACACAGTCCTAACTCCACCTGGGTTTGTTGATGTGCGTCTTAGGCTGCATCTGTACCCTAGGTTTTGTAGTCATTTATACCCTTTTGCCTTATAATTCTAAACAACTGCGCCAAATACACCAGAATGATGGGGGGCCGGGGAGATGGCTCAGTAGAATAAGCGCTTGCCTGGCAGGCACAAGGGCCTGAGTTCAACTTCTGGTTCTGCCAGGGGGAAAAAAAAGGCTAAAAGTTTAGGATTTGTGCCAGGCCTTCTATCTCAGTACTGGGAGGCTCAGACTAGAGGATTAACAGTTTAGGCCACCCTGGACTGTATAGTACTTTTTCTTTCTTTCTTTCTTCCTTTTTTTTTTTTTTGGTGGAACCAGGGATTGAATTTAGACCCTTGCACTTTCCAGAGAAGCACTTATTCTACTGAGCCATCTCCCCAGCCCTGTATAGTACTCTTGAGGCCAGCTGGGGCTACATAATTTAGTTTTTGTTAATTTACAAAAGGGGGAAAATGTACACACAGAATAGCTTGGATAATTGTACTGCTCATTTCTGTTGATCTGTTGAAAGGAGCAGTTAATACTTAAATTCCCCTTTTTAATTTTTTATAACTTTTTTTTTTTTTATTGTGTGTGTGTGTGTGCGTGTGTGTGTGGCCAGCTCAGCCCACCAGGGGGCGGGGTTGGCTGGTATGTGGTGCTGGGGGATTGAACCGCGGTCCCTGTGCTTTGCTTAGCTTAGCTTAGCTTGTTCTAAGTAGGTGCTTTAGACCACTGAGCCATCTCACCAGCCCCTTTTATAACTTTTTGACCAATGTTCATGCTTATATCTGGTAATCTGAACAACTAATTTGTGTTTTTGTTTGGTTTTGCGGTACTGGGGATCAAACTCAGGACCTTGCATTTGCCAGGCGGGTGCATGAGACACTGAGCTACATCCCCAGCCCTCTGAACAACTAGTTTGAAGACAATAATGCACAATATAACAGCCATCTTTTTGTTTTGGTTGTTGTGGTACTGGGGATTGAACTTAGGACCTTGCGCATATCAGGCAGGTGCTTAGGCTGAGCTGTCTCACTCATAACAGCCGTTGATGGAGAAAAACAACCAGAATCAGGAAGACCTGGGTACAGACTCTACTCTCCCGCATGCTTTTCTTTTCTCTCTCTCTCTCTCTCTCTCTCTCTCTCTCTCTCTCTCTCTCTCTCTCTTTTCTTTCTTTCTTCCTTTCTTTCTTTCTTGCGCGCTCTCTCTCCTTCTCCCTCCCTGTCTTTCTTTCTTCTTTCTTTTTTGACTTGGCACCTGCTAGGCAGGTGCTTAAGCTACTGAGCTATCTCCCTGGCCCTGTTTTCTTTTCAAATGACTTAATCACCCCTCAACTTTTTGGAAAACACCTGCTGTACATTTCTCAAGGCTTGAATTGTAGGCTTCTTTCTAGCAGAACACTGGCGCAGCCCCACAACCCCAGCATTTGGGAGACTGAGCCAGGATGATTACTGCAAGTTTGAAGACAACCTGGGATACACAGCCAGCCTGAGCTACAGAGAAAGACCTTGTGTCAAAAAACCAAAGGGGCAGAGGGTCACAGAGCTGGTGCAGGGCGAAGTGCCACGATGGTCTCAGATACTCCTGAGAATGAGGAAGGCTTGAGGTCATCCCAGGTGATCTAGCTGAGACCCTCTTCTCCACTTTGCAAAAAAGAATTGGTTATATCTAGAGCGATAAAAATATTTTGCTGCTGGAGGTGGGGACACAGCTTGGTGGTCCGGCATGTGTGGGCCTCACTCACTGAGTGAGGGGGCCTGGGTTCAATCCCCAGTGATCACACTTACAAAAACCAGAGCTAGGTGGACATGATGTAGTGTGGCACTGAGAAGATATTAAATACTACTGTGTTGCTTACTTAAATTGTTAATTTAAAAAAAGATTAATTTTATGCTGATCCTTTTTCTCCCCCCTCCTTTTATTCCCCCCTTTTTGAGACAGGGTCTCGCCGTGCAGCTCAGGCTGGCCTTGAGCTCACTTCGCAGCCCGGACTGGTGGCCAGGTCACAGTGACCCTCCTGCTGCTGCCCCCCGAGTGCTGGGTACAGGCGTGCGCCCCCACGCCCAGCTCGTGGTGGTGACTATTCAGTGCTGGAGGTAGAACCCAGGCCAGGGCCTCACCCAGGCGGGGGAAGTGCTCTACCACCAGCCTGTTAGTGAATTTTTCAACGAAAGATGTTAACCCCCCAAAAAACCCAAACCCCCAAAAAATAAAAATAAAAAAACCTGTCAACATCACAAAACCATTTTGAGCTGATGTGTGCCTCAAAGCCCATCGAATCTTTCGCTAAATACCAGCTTCGAAGGAAAAGCAGTGTTAGGAGAGAGGCACACACTAGACACTGCAGTCACAGTTGGGAAACGGAAAGGAAATTGGGCCGGGTGCGGTGGCATATCCCAGCCCTGGGAAGGATCCAGGCCAGCCTTGCCCACAAGGTGAGTTCAAGGTCACCCTGAGCTACGTAGCAAGACCTGTCTCAATAAATAAATTAATTAAATACTTTGTAAAATCTAAGATGCTTAGGTTTCCGGCCAGTCAACTCAGACACACTTAACACTCATGGTAGCTAGCCAGTGGCACCACGGACCCCGCACAGTGCCAGTTCATCAGCCAGGGACCATGCCCTTGAATAGGCCCTTTTCCCAAAAGCCACTGCAGCACCGTGGCTGCCATCGGCACACCGCTCAGAGTCTCTCAACCAGCAGCCGCGGCGCCTGCCTGGGCAGAGGGTGGAAGGCAGGGGCTGGAAAAGGGTGGGAGCAGGAAAGAGGAGGGCTCCCGTGGCCAGATCAGCCAGGGCTTTCAGCAGGTGTTTAAGAAATGACCACCCAGTTGCTTACCCACCCACCCACCCACCTCCCTCCACAGGGTACTCTGAAATAAAGTACTAATTGTAACTTCTAGGTCAGACTAGGGAAACTAGAAACGTAACAGTGGTGGAAAAAGTGATATTTAGGGTCACAAAAAATTTTCATTTGAGGGACAGGAGGAAAACAGGCGTGGAAAGAATATTTAAAATCAAGTATCAGGAGCCCGGATGTGGTGGCCATGCCTGTAATCGCAGCACTTGGGAGGCTGAGGCAAGAGGATCATGGTGAGTTTGAGGCCACCTAGGGCTACAAAGTGAGCTCAAGACCAGTCTGAACTGCACAGCGAGAACCTGTCTGCCAAAGAGAAAATAAATGAACAAACATGAATAAAATAAAATCAAGGGTCTATCCTGGGTTCAGTGTGGAAGCCCATGCCCATAATCCCACCACTCTCCAAGGCTGAGGATCTCCTCTCTCTCTCTTTTTTTTTTTCTTTCTGGTGGAACCAGGGATTGAGCTCAGGCCCTTGTGCTTGCCAGGCAAGCGGTTATTCTACTGAACTATCTCCCTGGCCCCTGCTGAGGATCTCAAGTTCCAGCCCAGCCTGGAAAATTTAACTCCCAGAGACCCTTACTCAAAATAAAAAATTTTTAAAAAATCTGAGCTTGTGGTTCCCTGCAAAGGTTCTGGGTTCAAGGCAGGGCTTGGTGGTGCACGCCTGTAATCCCACCATTCAGGAGACTGAGACAGGAGGATTCTTGTGGGCTCCAGATCGCCCCTTCAAGGTCAGGTGGAACTGCATGGTGAAACCCTGCCTCAGAAAGACCAAAAAAGAAGAGGAGGAGGAGAAAAGGTCCTGGGTCCAGTCCACAGAACCACAAGGAGGAAAAACGTCAAACATATCAAATAAACCTGATTCTAGTCACCTCCTGCGTGCCTATGCTGCCTCTCACAGAGAAGGTACAGTAAAAGGTGCCTAGGTTTGAACCCAGGATATGGCTTTATATTGGTAACATTAATTAATAAATTTATTTATTTACTTATTTTGAC